AAATGCGAATTAAGCCTAGCGCTGACAGCTGTAGGCTAAATGAATGCAATCGCGAGATACTAATTGCTTAAGAGAAGAACGTACTGGCTAATAATTGAAAGAGACGGAATTAGACCATTCAATTAGGAGATGGAATCGCATCTTGAGCAGCCATGCTATCTTCCCACTATTCTACCACCACCTTCTTTCCTTAATGGCTTCGTCGTCGACAGGAACGTGGCTATTTATTTGTATAATGTTAATTTATACTGTTTTCATGAAAATTCATGAACTCAAGAAGTTAAACACAGGAAGTGAGAACATTATTTAAACAAGGATAAATTGCTCCTCCTGTTTACAAACAGAGAGCTATACTTAGACCTATTAAGGAATATTTTTTTTGTCCTTAAAGGATCTGTGGATTTGATATCTTTGTTGTTGTTTTATTTTATTTTTTCATATAGGAACGCACAATACAATAAAATAATTGGTAGTTATTAAATATTTAAAAATTATGACTGAATGTTTCTATCAATATTCATCATAAGAATCGTTGGACATTTTGCCACATTCATTAAACAGTGTTGTCCGTTGATAATGATTACATAAATAGTATACAAAATTATTGTTTAACAGAAGATTAACGTTTCGACCAAAGTTGATGGTCTTCTTTAGGGTTGTGAATTACATTAGACAAGGTAATAGAAAAGAGAAGATTTTTATATTCTCTTTTCATTTGCTTGGCAATAATGATGATCCAAGTGCAATTCTTGGTGCTAGTCGCATTTAACTCTGGTATCAATCCCCCGCCCTCTCACCTAACAGGGGCAAAACCCGTATAGCCGAAGGGAGAAAAGAAAGAAAAAAGAAGGTCTACTACTATAACTTCAGCCCACATTAAACTATATTTTATTACTATTTGTTTTTACTAATCTACAAACCAAACCCGAAACCTATCTGACCCAAGGAGTAGAATTTGCGAGGATAGCTAAATTTTCTAACATTAAACGAATTCAATCTTTCTAGTCTAAAGTCCTCCGCACAACAGTCGACCCTTCCTTCTACGTAACCAACAAAACTCTGCTTAGTGACCTTGACATCCCATTTATTCTTTTGTGAATATTGGTGTTCAGGCAATGCTCTGATCTCCACTCAACCTCTATTGGCTCTTAATACCGGTGTAGTAGAGAGAGAAGCGCTGGGATCTCTTGGAGCCACGCTTCTCCTCTCACAAGTGGGGAGACAAGGCTGACGAGTTCCTCTGGCTGATTGCTAATACTGTATGCTTGTGTTTGAGATGTTTATTTTACTTTTTAAGTAAATTTTATTTTTCTAATTTATTTATTTTAATTTGTTTCTCTTTATGCTATTTTGTTGTGTTCTTAATATTATATATTATATTTCTATTACATATTAATACATTTATGTTTTCTGTAAATATGGCGTGAATGTGTTCTGTGAACTCTATTGTAAATGTCTTTAGTTGAGAATATATTGTAATGTCTCAATGAACAAGTTAAAAAAAAAAAACTATTTCTATAATATCTGACCGTATCGGACGAAGGTCGACTAGCTATAGTTTTGAAAGTATTGATTTTAAGAAGGCTTATTAAATTTGAGTTTAACTAATAAGATTCGCTGCTGAAGATCTAAATAGAAAAAAAAAATTATAACCACCAAGCTATATCGAGGCACAGAGGAAAAGTTGAGAGAGCCAAGAATAGATCCGAATAGGTTTGCTATTTGTTTGCCAAACAAGAACAATTTAAGGGACGGGTTAACGAAGAGATCCTTTCACCAATTAGAGTCTTGGCAGTTCTCACTGCTGTCTGGGGGAACATTATGTCTACCCTTTGTTTATAATCAGCTAAACGATACACAAGTGATGGTTCTTAAATTGCAATCAGATCCTAAACGACTGTCAAATCCCCATCGATCTGGAGGCAGATTAATTATATCCTCTTGAAGAGAGCGGATAAAGGGGGTAATTAGAGCAACTTTAGCCTATACAGCATTAATCATTTCAGTTCATCCTCAACCCTCTTCGCTGAATCCTTAAGCAGGAGTGATTTTTAGGATTACTTCAAGTGTCTAAGTCTTTAACCGATAAATCTAATCAGAGATGAAACAAATACTTCAATTTTATGGTATGAAAATATGTACAAATAGTAATAATAATAATAATAATATAGAAACATAAATAGAAAAACACTTTTATTCTGAAACGAATTACCTTGAAAATAACAGAATCGTACAAAAGAAAAGATTAATTTTGAACAAAAGGCTTGATACATTAAACTATATAAAAAATAAATAAATAAAACATTAATTAAGCTAGCTATATACAAAAAATAAAAAATAATACTGTGTATAAAACGCTTAAAACTATGAACAAAACTTTTAAACGATGTAAAAAATTCATCGAAAATAGTATACCTATTCACGTCTAAGAAGGATAGATGAAAACAAAAATTAATTAGATTATTCTAATAAATAAGAATTAAGTTTTTATTACTAATTGTAGGCAGACAAAAAATAAGAGAGAAAAAACATTAAAAGTAAATTGAAAATATATAAACTTAATATCATTTAATACTATTTAATCTTAGATGAATTTAAGATTAGTAAGATTTTAATTGTACATGAAACAAAAAAAATTTTTTTTAAATGTATGCATCTGCATAAATCTATTTATTTATTTTATAATAAATGAAATGAAATACATGTATAAAGTCAAAGTATCGTGAGATTAATAAAAACAGTACTGTTAAGTCGTTCAAGATTAGCACTTATCTGTTTTCGGAATAAGAATTGAAATAGAAGGGTTTTAAATATGGATAAGGAGGGGAGCATGTTACGATATATTAACATTGCATATAAAATTTTTTAAAAAATCGACCCATCAATAGCTTGAAGTATTTACAGGAAAACGTGCATATTGGTCCGAGGAACATTTAATTGGTCTTTTAATATAATAAAAATCAATTCTCATGATTGAGATCTGTGTAAAAACACATGAGCATTACGAATTAATTTGATAAATTTGTGTAAAATTTAATTGTTAACTTTGATTCGGTAAATAGTCGATTGATCAGTTATAAGAAAGAAACAAAATTGTTAGGAATTCAGTAAAATGTGTTTAATGGGTTTGCAGACGTTTCGGCCCAAACTTGCCGGTCATCATCGGGGCTCAACTCTTTTATGTACATTATCAAATGAAAGGACAGAATGTAATCAAGAAACCTGCTGCGAACTGGTGTGTGATGAGATGGATCAGAAAAGTGTGGCAAATTATGTAGTAAAGGCAGAGATGGATCAAGCAGAGTTGTGATCTCTTGAAGAGTGTTATGGTCTAAGAGAAGAGAGCTCATATTTATGATCTTTTGAGTTGATCCCAATATTTTAAAGATAGGTAAGTAGCCTAGTGGTCAATCAAAAGATGAAAAAAAATTATCAGGAATTTCAGTCAAAATTTCTGTAATGGGTTAGCCAACGTTTCGACCCAAACATCAGGGGTCAGTTCTTGTATGTACATACATGTAAATTTTCTCTATGTTACATTTGTTAAATTTCGTAACTCAATTTCATTGAATAACGAAAGTTAAAAAAATTTAAAAATTTCGTGATTTTTTTAGTCATTGGTTTCAATTCTACAAAAAACGTGACTTACTTTTAAAAAACACAACCAGCCACACTGCAAAAGCCAGTATTAGAAAGTGCGTTTGTTTTTTTTTTTTTTGTTTTTTTTTTTGTCAATCTTGCCCTTGCACATAATCAGATATACAAACCAAACATGATACAAAAACATCACATTTTCGTCTTTAAAAAAAATTTTTTTATAAAGAACTTTTATTGGCTCTTAATACCGGTGAAGTGGTAGAGAGAGAAGCGCTTTTGTATTATTCGAGCTTTTATATTATACAAGCTAGTTTCTGTTTTTATATTTAAAAATTCACTAATCATTTTTTTTGTTCATATTCCCAATTTTTTTTACCGATTTGCCCATCACAATTATTGATAAGCGCCATCTTACATATTTTTTCATAATAACCTATTTACTGTAAAATATTACCATATTCTACACATCAGTAATGGAACAGTAGTTCTAATTAAATTATAGATAAAATAAAAATCAGTCCTACATCATCCCCTGATGAATCTATGGTGTACGATAACTTTTAATCTACACTTCATTGTTGTGTGACCAATATTTTGCACCAGTTAACTGATTTATTATCTAATTAATTTAAAATACTAATTAAGTAATTTAGTAGTAGTGGTGAAAACTGTAAAAATACAAGTATAGTAAGATGCATGAACAAAAAAAAAGGAATATTACGATGTAATGAAGGAAAATTGAAAATAAAAAAATCTGATTTCCACCAGATTTTCTTATGATTTTTTAAACTTAACACGGTGCTATGCAATTTAAATATAACCGTATTGAATCAATGCAAAGAAACGAACTACTACTTATGGTTCAAGACTGAATATTTAAGACGTTATTTCTCAATTTAATTTTTATTTGCATGCTGTTTACTCTATGTATTCGAATCTATGGCTCAAGTTGTATTTATAAGAGTTTTCTTAAAATGACTCTGGAAATTGAATTTTTTTTAAATTGTAGTATAGTATGATGTTCGTTAAAATTAAAAAAAAAAAAACACTGTAGAAATAATATCGAAACTTATCACTCACTAACCAGACTTAATGTTGAGAAGATAGTTGTTAACGTACACGTATAGTATAGCATAACGTAAACTACAACTCAGAAATTGGAAATGTCAATCAAGTCAAAAGTTTACTCAAGCTACCATGTCAGTTTCCATTTTGTTTATTTTTAAAGATAGTATTCCACTTTGAACTATGACGCACTTTTGGAATGATAATGTTACTATCCTGTTCGAATCGTATCAATTTCGAATGATGAAATAAACAATGGAGCTACACATTGTTGTGGTATGGTATTGCCATTGTTATTGTATGGTATTGACATTGCTATTGTATGTTATTGGTGTTACCTGAAGAAGTCAGAATGGAGAGGAGAGATGATGTTAGACTAGCTGTGGTGCCCGCAATGGCCAGAGGTAGCTTATCCACTACTCGACTACCCCTTCCATCCTCGGGGCGTGGGCACGGATAATTTCCCTTGACTCGCCAACTGACACCAATTGGTTAACTTTTTTCTCGTTTTTTAAAATTGTTGTCCTCTTCCTCAATTCGCTGGGAACGTGTCGCCGGGAGGTCACACGGCCATCTCCTCTTCTACTCGGTTATTTTGCCTTAGATCATAGCATTAGGTTATTCTTAAAGCTGCTTAGAACTCAAAAACAATTCCCAGGATCGGGATTGATATAGCTCTTTACTGAAGGAAAACATTATATTGATATAAAATGTAATGTTCTGGTAAGTATCAAACAACAGTATTGATAACTGTAGGTCGATAATTATTAAATATATCGTCGTATCTATTTTTAAAAAACGATATTTTGGAACTCGTTAGTTGCAAGATATGAAAAAAAAAAAAAAGGATTAACACTCAATTGAAACTTTTTCAGGAAACAAGTAAAGCTATTTTTCCTATTCCGATTGTAAAGGAAAAAAACAATATTTTTTAATAATAAATAATAGTCCGTGGTACAGATCCCTTTTTATCGAATTATTAACATCCGCCTGAAACTTCGTAAATAATTTCATCTCATCCTAACCCACTAGCGGATCCAGGATTTAATTTTGGGGGGGGGCTTCAGCCCGAAACCTTTTATTTTTCATAAAATAACGATAATTACTTTGGAAAAACATAAAGAAATTAACTACCTATATGAAATGGTGTTTAAGTTATTCCTTAAGTACTTTTAAATGTAATTACACGAACAATAATACTTTAAGAGGTATTTTTAAAAATTTGTTTCCCATAAAACATGGTTACATTTTTCCATTTTGGGGGGAGCTTCAGCCCGAAAGCCCCCCCCCCCGTAGATCCGCCCGTGTCCTAACCTACAACTATTTTATTTACGAAAACTCTCGGAATTGGAGCGTTTTTAATCTGGAGGAGGGCAAACTTTGTCTATTTAATTATGCACTAAAAACTTGTAAATACCCATCTACTAGGATCGCAAGATAATTTGATCACAAAATCGTTAAAAAAGGTAACCTGCAAAAATATTGGTTCGTTTGTCCTGAATAACCTCGTTATTTTGAAAATTTGGGGATATAGGTCACGCCAAATGGCTTAATATTTTTTAAGGCCACCTTTTTTATCGATTTTGTGATCAAATTATCCTACGATCCAAGTTGAAAATAAACTTATATTTACGATTTTTTAGTACCGAATTAAATAGACAAGGTTTTCCTCCCTCCGGATTGAAAACGCCCCAATTTCAAGAGTTTTCTTAAATAAAATAGTTGTAGGTTACGATGAGATGAAAGTATTTACGAAGTTACAGGCGGATGTTAATAATTCGATAAAAAGGGATCTGTACCACTATCATAAAAATAATTTATCTAAAATATCATAAAGATATTTTATCATTTAATATTTCAAATAGATATATCTAGATTGTTGACATATTATATCATATATGTTTAAATTATTAACGATTTATAAATTACATCATTGGTCACATTTTTAAAATTATTGAAATAGCAACTTCTTTTTATATTAGATAAAAGTTACAATAATATTTGTTTTGTTTTTTATTTTAATTTTTAATTTAGTTATACCGTATAGAATTTTCTCCTGTACGCCTCTTGTAACGTTGGCACCCCCCTGTGGTCACAGAAAAAAAGGGGGTTTGAATCCTCTTACGTAGCTTACCCCCGCCATCCATACCCCTTTCAACATGGAGCAAGGGTCCAAAGACCCTTCGATATAATATTATTAAAAAAAATAATAAAATGGATCGTGTCATTTTATAGTTAATACGAATTTTATAGTAAAAACTCACATTTTATAGTTTTGGCAGTATAAAACTGGGCTCTTTAAGCGATAGCTTAAGCTGTTTGAAGCATTTAAAATACAATAGAAATCTTTAATATTATAGATTTTTAAGTTAACAGATTAACTGATTATTTTAAATTTATTTCGAAGAATAAAAAATATATCAAATATAATTTTTATGTCAATTTATTGTTTTAATTAATAGATTTTTATAAATTGTTTATAAAATAATATTTATTCAATACATATTATTTTTTTAAATAAATAATTTTTAAAAAATGGTCATCACCTCAAAACTGATCCATCTTCATTAATTTATTTTTATCATTCGAAGTATTATCATTGAATAAAATAAAATAATTTCATATATACCTATACTCGTTTATTTTAATAAAATCTTTAAATGATGGTTTAAAATTTGCTGTATAATCATATAAAATAGACTAGTTGAATGATTTTTATCAGGTATTGGAACGGAAAAAAAAGTTTTATTTTTAAAAAGGTTTTATATCATCGGAATTTTAATTTTCGATAGTTTTTCACTTCTTTTGGAACTAGAACTTTTTTCTTTGCAACTTTTCAAGTAAAGGTTTTACTGAACTTTTTTTTTAGAAAAACTTTTATTTTCGTAAATAGTTTTATCTCATTGTAACCCCACAACTATTTTATTTACGAAAACTCTTGGAATTGGGTCGTTTTCAATCTGGATAGGGGCAATCTTTATCTATTTAAGTAGGTACTAAAAACTCGTAAATACTCATTTGCTTACTACTTGGATCGTAAGATAATTTTATCATAAAATCGATAAAAAAAGGTGGCCTATAAAAATATTGGGCCGTTTTTCCTATATAACCTCGTTAGTTTGAAATTTTGGAGGGGGTAGGTCACGCCAAACGGCGATTTTTGAAGGCCACCTTTTTTCTTGTTTTTCTGATCAAATTATCTTACGATCCAAGTAGAAAGCAAATGAGTATTTATGAGTTTTTAGTAACTACTTAAATAGACAAATATTGCCCCATTCAGAACGTCCCATTGAAACCATTGAAATATTGCCCATTGAAAACGTCCCAATTCCAAGAGTTTTCGTAAATAAAATTTAAAAAATGACTTTTATCCATAGCTACTCAAACAAACGACACATTAGTAATTCATTTAAGACAAATTATAACTCCAATCTAAATTCAATTACTGTTTAATTTTCATTGAAGGGAACTTATTTCAAAAATTTGAATAAATAAAAGTTGAACTTTTACCATAATTCCGGAATATTATTACGAAAAATTGCATTAAAACTTTTCTCTTATATTCGTGTGTCAAACATACAAATTGTTAAAATGGCACTTTTTAAATAGTTTCAATTCCTGATTTTTATGTTAAATTTCGATAAATTTTGAGTCGCTTTAATTGAAAAGGAATCCTCATAGAACAAAAAATTAGATTTATTAATAATGGATTAGAAGCTTCTTGAAAAATAGTTCGTCAATTCCTCGGCGATATTTATGAAAGTTGTCAAGTATTAACCATAAATTCTTTAAAGGAAAGTAATATATGTTTCCCTCTGTCAATTAATAATGAATATAATGGAATAAAATTCATTTTTAGTTATATATATGGTTTAATATACAACATGATTTTTTTACTATTGGTTTATATATAAACAAAAGTGTTGACGATTAGTATTTTATTTAAAAAATCTCTATTATTAACTGTCTGCTTCAAAAAATGAAGAGTGAATAAAGAAATATTTAGTAAGTAATCTCCCCGAGTACCTTTTTCTATTTCTATTATTATTTATTTTTTGAAGACATTAATATCGTATTACTTTAAATTATTAGGAATCGGGGTGGCTTTAATTCACTGTTCTCGGGCTCGGGTTCGAGTCGGGCGTTGGCAGATAATTATTTATTTAGCTACTTAAACCGTGGATTGTCTCTTAGATGGGGAGACTCACCTGAGGCACCCTCTCCTCTATAAATTTGGTTACCCTAATTAGTTTAAACCTAGTGGTTAAGTATGATCTTGGTAAAATCACCAATTTTTGCGTGAATCAGAAAATTGGTTTAAAAATACATTTATTAGAGCGCTACCAATGGGTAGATTCTCTGCAATTCTTTTCATGTTATTGTATCACTCTGTACACATTTACTAGATGTATATTTAATTTATGCAGTTGTAAATTTCATGAATAAATAAAAAATAGGTTCTTTGAATGGCACACTAATAGGAATAAAACAGTAAATAATCTGTTTAAAATCTGAATAATATTGAACACACTGTTTTAACCTATTATTTTGATACACTAATCTTTGCTCAAATCGTATAACTTTAATTGGCTTGTATTCTGTACTTCAGATTGTATTATCTTTTATCAACATGAAATCAGAATTCGGTAATTTATTTTTAAATTATACACAATTCGGTATTTTTTTTTTAAATTATACACAATTCGGTAATTTTTTTTTTTATTATATAATTGGTAATTGGTTGACTGTCGTGGATAATGAAGAGAAGAATAGTTGGGGTGTTCAGTCAATAAGGAAGGCAAAAATAAATTATAATATTTATTTTTTACATATGCCGACGTTTCGACCTGAAGTTCAGGCCTTCATCAGGGCTAAGAAAATAACCAGATAACAAGGTATGAGAAACATAAGTATTGATGGTAAAAAAGATAATAAAAAAAAAAAATTAAATTAAAAAAAAAAATTAGTAGAAAAATAAAATAGATAAATATAAAGTAAAATGAAATTGTTAGAATAATGACTAAGGACTAAGAGATAAATAATAAAAACTGTTTCATAGTGTGGAATGATGAAGTAGGCATAATCAAAAAGGGGTGACAAAAGTGTTACAATAGGAATCTTAGAATAAAATGTAAAACATAAAAAAGAAATATAAAGTTATATAAGAAATGAAAATAAATAGTAAAATTAAAACATTGAGAATGGAGTAGTTAGATAGAAAATTCTTTTTAAATTATACATTATACAATTATACAAAAATTATACATCGCGCCTTACTGCCAATTTATATTATTATATAATTATAATTATTCTTATTGTCAATTTGTAACCATAATATTTTTTTATTTAATGAAATTTACAACTGTATATAAGTACAACCAGTAAATATGCACAAATTAGAAATAATGACATGAACAAGCTTGAAGAGATACTGC